AGAATATTGTTACTGACTGCTATGACGTTCGCCTAAATTCATGAATAATACCGGTTTCACAAATGCCTTCTGCGTGTGCCTAAACACAAAATGATAAAGATTCATTACATGTATATATATCTAATTTTGGCTCAGTTTTTATGAAGTATGAGAAAAGTTACCTTTGACTTGCAGTTCGTTCACATAGAATAGAAAACGAAGTAAAACTGCTACCGTCTCTTATGGCGCGCTGTTTTTTTGTTGATCTGCACAGGGTACAGACTTTCGTTGACTCTTACTTTAACTTCACTTTTTATTCCCAATCTCTTCATGATATCTAGGTATGACTTGTCAACGACTTCGTTAAGGTCATTAGATTATTGCATCAGTTGATAGGTTCGTGGTACCTATAACATCAATTCTATCTTGTTGTGATGAAGTTTGTCAAGAAAGTGTCTGAAATGAAATATAGCACGAACCATTTTAGGCTAGCCGCTAGTTTTTTATTCCAGCCGTGTATGGTTATTCTGAAATTCCTGACGGTGAGACGTAACTTGGTGGTTCAAGATATCGCACAAATACTAAACGCTCTGACAAAAGCTTTGCACTTACAAGGAGGATCTCAAGCACAGCTTTTTTTGGATTTCGGAAAACATTTTGCGTTTCGCCGACGTAAACCCATATACCATGCACGCTATGTGCTAACTGATGTGCTATTTGTACCACTAGTCAATACTTTGAGTGTAGCCGCATTTAGTAAAGACTGAAGCTTTTCGTAGACAACCTAGCCTTTTGTGAATCTACAGCAAAGTGAAAGCTTTGTCTCAAGTTGGTGGAAACAACCAATTCGTCATATTTTTTCAAACAGTCAAAGTACTTCAGGAATCAAAAATCCTTGTTTATCCAAAGTTTACTGTTTATTTTTTGGAGATTCGTGGTAGTATGAGCCAAAATTGACCACTGGCATCGAAGTTTCTAACATGTTCACTAATCCACTATCATTTATTCTCTCTTCTGTCACACATTTGTATCTTCTTTAGTACGATTCATTCTTTTTCCATTTCTTTTCACATTACTCTAAAGTATGCAAACCTAAATTACTGTACTTCTGTACCATGTTTTATATTTGTCTTTCTATCTGTTAAGTTTAGTAGAAGAGTTAACATTTTTATAGCTGAGGCAGCTGTATTCTTCTAAACTTTTCTCTTGGTTATCTCTACCAAAAAAAGTCTCAGTTTGTGAAAATTCAACGAATTAATTGTACATTTGTGAGTTTAAATTGCAATCCCACTCACTTGATCACATTCCTACATCTTGTTCGGTTCATTACATGCTGCACTAACATGAACACAGGTACTGAATTGGTTCTCTTCTTCAAAACACAAGGATTTTATTTGTAAATAATGTCGAACACTGCTTCTTCACCTGGTTAACTAGTTCACTAGTTACTAGCCGGTCCTAAGCCCGGGTAAAGAGGGAAGATTGGGCGTAGGGCTGACAACCCTACCCCGTAAAACCAATCCAATCGCTAAAGAAACTTCAAAGCACAGACAAAATATAAAAAATAAAAACAAACTTATTGCTCACTGGAACCGGAGAGACGAAATGACGCCGGTTGGTGAAAGCCTTCGGGAAGCCAGTCGGCCGATGTGTCTCCTCTTCTCTCGATGAAAGCGAAAGTAAACATGGGGACATAGAATGTCCGCACGATGTTCGAATCTACCGATAAGGCTGCCCAGATTGCAAACGAGATGAGAAGGTATGGCGTGGAAATGCTTGGAATCTGCGAAGGCAGGTGGAATGGAAGTAGACTCTCCAAACTGTTAACTGGAGAGTCAATAATCTACTCCGATATTTTCACCCAGACGACAACCATGAACACACTGAGGGAGTGGCTGTCATGATTTCCCTTTCCCGAGAGCATCGAAGGCTCTCATGCAGTTGGAAACCAGTCTCCTCCAGGATCATGATCATGACAGCAAGATTCAACTCAAAGGAAAAGGAAGTCACAATCATTCAATGCTACGCGCCAACAAATAATGCAGATCAAGAGAAGGAGGAGGAATTCTATAGACAGCTGTGATCAACACTGGACAAGACCCCCACTCCAGTTGGCGATATCAAAATTCTAACGGGCGACATGAATGCCAAACTCGAAGTGGACAACACAGGAAGAGAACTGATCATGAGTCGAGGGGCACTGGGTGAAATGAATGAAAACGGTGAACTGTTTGCAGAAGTCTGTGCATTCAACGATTTGGTGATTGGAGGCGATGCAGTGTGTACAAACAAAAAGGTATTCATAAGACGACATGAACTTCACCAGATGGACACACTAAAATCAGATCGACTTCATCTCAATCTGAAGATAGTGGGGACACAGCCTACTCAATACAAGATCAGATCAAGAAGGGAAGCAGGTGTAAGTTCACACCACTCACTATCTAGTGTAAGAAACCCACCTTCAAAATCAAGTTGAAAGCCTTCAAAGAAGCTGGTGATGAACCACAGTCCAAGTTGAACACCTAAAACGGAAACTGAAGGACGAAACTACAAAAAACATCTTCACGTCAGTCATGAGAACAAAATGGGAGATATTGTGCAGCATCCCTGAAGAAACCTGCTTAAGGGAACACTGGAACTCTTTGAAAGGTATGTGGAAAGAAACCTGCATAATCTTATTGGGAAGGAAGAGGAAACAAGACAAGGAATGGATCTCGACGGATGCATGGAAGGTGATAGAGCAGGGAGAGGAAGATGGTGAAGCAGAAGATGAACCAGTGCAGTGCAGGGATGCACTGCGAAAAGACGAACTGAGTACAACGTACAAAACAATGGACAAAGAAGTGAAGAGTGCGCGCAAAGACAAAAGACACTTCTACGACACTGGCAAGTGAAGCAGAACAAGCTGCAGGTAGGAGAGACTTGACAACACTATTTCAAATAACCAGGTTACTATATGTGGAGAGATGTACACAGACGAAACCAATGAAAAAAAGTGAAGGAAAGCTAGTTATCAAAGAGGAAAAACAGAGGAGACAATGAGCTGACCACTTCAAAAAACTTTTGAATTGACCACCAGCACGACCTGCAACTCGTCCGGAAATACCACCAACAACGGCAGAACTATCAGTGATTACAGGCCCTCCGACAAAAGCAGAAGTGAAGTCCTGAATGCCATAAAACTGCTGAATTTCGAGAAAGCAGCATTACTAGATGGAATCCCACCAAAAGCACTGAAAACAGACACAGAGACAATAGCGGACATGCTCACACCACTACTGCAGAAGGTTTAGAAGGAAGGAATAAGAGCTTCCTTGTCAAACTCCCAAAGAAGGGAGACCTAAGTCTTTGCAAGAACTGGCGAGGAATCATGCTCCTGTCCACCCGAAGCAGGCAAAATACTAAGCCGCATCATCCTGGAGAGACTAAAGGATACTCTGGATTCAATATTACGACCAGAACAGGCTGGCTGGCTGGCTTCGCCTTAGGAAGAACAAATCAAGTGGGGATCAAATTACAACGCTACGCATCATCATAGAACAGTGTATAGAATGGCAGTCAACTCAACTTCATCGATTTTGAAAAGGCCTTCGACAGCATCGACCGAGAAGTAATTTGGCAGACTGCTGCTTCAACATCACGTAGTGCGACAAATCTTTATCAACCTCATTCAACAAGTATATGAAGACGCCACATGCCAAGTAATGCATAATGGTAAGCTCAGTGATGCCTTTGAATTGAAGTGAAGACAGAAGTAAGACAAGGCTGCCTACTATCACTGATGATCTTCCTGATTGTGGCCGACTAGATTATGCAACAAACAGTGAGGAGCTGTGAGAAGAGGAGGATACTCCGGACCGGGGAAAAGATCCTAGGAGATTTGGATTTCGCCGATGACTTGTGTCTAATGTCACACAAACTTGAAGATCTACAGGCGAAATCCAACAAGTTGACAGAAGAGGCGAGGCAGTGAAAACGGGACTTCAAGTGAATGTAGAGAAGACAGGGTAGGTGATGAAGATACCCAACGAACAACAACATCAACAACAAGCACCAATCACCCACCATGAACGGGAGAAACCTAAAGGAAGTTGTTCCTTTCACCTACCCACCTGCCTAGGCAGCATCGTTTCAACTACAGGTGGCACAGGCACAGATGAGGATATCGAAGACAGGATCGGAAAGACAGCAGCGAGACAGGCTTTCATTAATCTGAAACCAGTGTGGAGATCAACTGCACTCCACTCAGCAGAAAGCGTGAAAAAGATCCAGATTTTCAACACCAATCCAGTCAAGTCAGTGCTACTATATGCTTCAGAAACTTGGCGCGTCACGAAAAGCACTTCGAACAAACCACAGACATTCATCAATAGCTGCCGCCTACGCTCGCTCACTCGATACTGAAGATCAGATGGTCAGAATAAAAGGAATAAGCGACAAAGAACTCTGGTAACGAAGCAACCAAGAACCTATCGCCCAACAAATATGCAGAAGAGGAAAGTGGAGATGGATTGGGCGTACAGTGAGAAGGCCGACTGGGGACATCACGCGTCATGCCAGGCCGTCATGTGGAACGGAAATGGGAAACGAGGAGTTGGGCGTCCCAGCTGAGGGTGACATGGAGGAGATTATGTGAGGAAGAGACGAAAGCTTGTGGTTAGACGTGGAGCGATGTTCAAAAGACTGAAGAGAAGAGAGTGGATTGGAGGCGTGCAACTGAAGCCCTATGTTCCACTAGGAACTCAAGGGAATAATAATATTAATAAACACTGCGGCATATAATAAATTGCATTTAAATTTACTCCATATGTTTGCAGTATAACCAGTGCATCAAGGCAGCTATAGGACAAAACCCACACTAACTTCTTTTATTTAATCTTATGAAATACTTGCTTTCAAATCATTTCTTATTATTAGTAGTACAATTTGTTTTCGTTGCATAATCATTGTGTTTACTTGACATTTTTTTGAATCATCGTCTTCAGTTGCTGATTGATTTTTGTTTAAATTTTTTGCAGTGTGATGAAGATCCGGTATTGCCGTTTTGTGAAATGTTTTTCTTCGAAAGTTCAACGATTGCTTCCTTGTCAGTGATTCCATGTTTCGTTTGAGCCTTCATAACTTTTAGTGCCTTTTCATTGTAACCGTTAATTGTCTATGAATTACATACATTTACGTGCATGTGTTTTAACTATCTTCAATGCTTTCTTGCTTAAGAAAATATGGCTCTTAGATAACATAAACCCTGGCAAATGTTTTATGTAACATGGTGCTTTTAAAATGCTCAGAATTCTTATTTCTTGTTACTTGTCCAGATTTTTTGAATGTAAACTAATTATTCAGTCTTCAATAGATATTAGGCAATTGTGTATTGCTGCATTTTAACTTCACACACTAAAGCCTTTATGATTATGCTTCAGTTATGCTATATGAACTTTATGGTAAAACAAGTTGATTTGAAATAGATGTATGTGTGTGTTTCTGTTATACGTCAACCACTTTATGTCGGGGAATCCATGGGTGCTATTGTTTCAGCAATCCCATGAGGCAATTTACTAGTAATAAAAGAGGTTTTGAATGCAAGCCTAACAGTTATTGTCTGAAAAAATAACCTACAATTGTCATATCAAATTAAGGATTTTGAACATGACAAAGTGAACTTCTTACTTAGTATTTACGAAAAGTTCATTCGTCAAATAGTAGACACAAAGCAGGAGATATGAAGTGCCTGCTAATCTGGGCGCTAAAAACTGATAAAAGACTATTTTAAAGATAAGATTTGGGTGAATGTACTGAAAACTAAACTTACCAATGCATTAGTTCCGTAAGCATCGACTACTCACACTCGATTTCGGAATCCTCATACTTCTAATGTTAATACAGTAAGGTATGCTTGAAATTGAAAAAAAGAGGGCAGGTCGCAGCGTTACACAGATGCAACTGGTTGGTACTTTGTCATCTACTAGATGATCAGTAGTGGGTGCTAAGATAGACGTCCGATCCTACTTGGAACTCGTCAGTGCGCCACAGTAAGTGCTGTTGTTCCTACTGAAACCTGAACCAACTAACCATCACTTTAAACACCACAGCGTTATCCACTGGGGCGCGAGAGTCACCTCTTATGAGGTGGGTATCAACTGTAGTTTATTGATACTTGTAATTTTCCGTGGCTATACAAGGTCTAATTGTCCTACCTCTGTTGGTAACTAGATTCCTATGCGGATGCCTTGGTACTGTCTGAATATTCATTGTGTTTTAGTCTTTTAAAAAGGAACTGTACCAAGTGATAGCCGGTAATGAGGCCTGATAGATTATGCGTATGAAGTGATTGAGTTGCAAAGCCTTCGATTCCTTCAATCGTAATCGGTTGAGATACTAGAACTATTTGCGAACGGAGGCATTTCGTTCCTTTCTATCTTCGGTGAGTCTAGAAGGAATATTTTGGAGCGTATAATTGTATCTGGATAGTTTGAGCATTTATACACAAACTCAACTCGGTCAATACCTAAAACCCTACAGTGGTTTTTGTACATGATTATAAAAGTGATCTAAAACACTCTTTGTTGTAACAATTGTTACTCTAAATTGAACCGCATTTGAAACCTCAGCATGATAGTTGTAAAACGAAAATCAGCAAGTACCATAGAGTCATAATAATAGCTGGACCGCGAGTGAGAAAGTTAAATCATACGTGTATACCATGTTTATGCTAACATCCATCATCGAAAGTAAGCAAGAGAAAAGAGCCGTCAGTAAATCAGCACGTGTTCTGAGTAATATCCGTAATCAGTCAGCTATGCAAACGTACTGCATCATCTTCGCTTCTGAATTAGTAGATGAGCGTGGTTTCTGTCATACGGGTTTTAAACTCACTAGGGAGCGGAAGCTGTTCAAATGTCATCATCAACACAGGACCATGCATTACTGCGGAACGGTCTGAGTTGCATCAACTCATATCAGTACAACAAGTAAAAAGGCAGTGAGGGCAACATGAAGATAAGAAAATTCAGTCAGAAGAAATATAAGATACGAAAAGAGAGAAAGGAAGAATGAGAAAATGGTGAGATTCGGTATGGCGTCGTTAAGATGAGGATAATGTATGTATACATATGACATCGGTTCTGAGCCATATCACCTAGTCTCCAACCAATGGTTTCTCTTGTCTCGCGGACCCCAAGTGCCTAGTCTGCATCGCTCCACATGGCTCAAACCGACAGTTAGAGACTTCATACATTAGTGCCATGTTTTAGTCTGGCCCCCTTAAGCCCTTTTCAAGCCTGAACCTACTTTGGCCAACACCGTGTAACGAAGCAGTTGGCGACTAGGCATACGCAGTACGTGTCCCAAACATCTCAGTCGATGAAGGTTCATAACCTCGTCAACCAACTTACCTCTTCTCCCTAAGACTCTACACCTGACGTCTCTATTACTCACAAAAGTATGCTGAGAGTGACTACCCACGAACTGTTGGTTGTGCTGTGTAACATGCTAATGAGATGCAAAAGGAAACGGTGACGGGTATCAGTAGACAGTCATTTCGACTAATTGAGGTAGCTGAAAATAAAACGTTGATTGTTGGTAAAACGATAAGGGATAAGGATGGGTCTGTGATTCCTTGGCGAGGGGGACGATGGACAGAACGCTTTGCAGGGCAGTCCAACTGACCTTTGGGTAGCCTTTTCAGTTGCTCACCAAATAGAACACTGAAACAGGCCGTGTAACTCTCCTAGAGGTCGCGAAGGCTCCAAGAAACCTGGAACGATGAAGGGAAACATGCGTCAATGGACCCGTAGTAGAAGTACCCGATGAAACTCACTGAGGATTGGTTGCTGGATTATGTGAACGTTTAGGCGGGACATACTTATGATGTGTGGTCCAATGTGACTTGCGTCAATCGCTACTTGTGTCTGTATACCAGTAAATTTCGCCTAGGATGCCGAGAATACGTTCTAGTCTATGAAGGCTGTTAACATCGCAGTTTGTATAATGGTGAGGTGCCTGAGTAAAACTTTGGAGCAGAAAATCTGAGAAAAAGAGTCGGGTTTCACCACCGATTTGTCGAGCATATGTCCGTTCTGCTCCAGGTCTTACACTATAGACAGACTTTGCGCGTGCTTAATACTAGTTGTGTTTCTTGATCTAAAGGTGAAATTCGACTCGATCAATGAGAACTTTTATGACAGTATCCTGAGTGGGCTTATGGACAGGTATACCACTGTGTTGAAGGCTCTATATTCAAATACCCATGAGCGTTTTCGTGCCTATGTTGAGATATCGGGTGATTTTTTCTGTCAAAGATGTCTACTCCATTTCCACTCACCTTTGTCATAGATGTGCTTATAGGAGTTCCCCTCTTCCGAATTGTGCGGCGACTAATCTGGTTTCAGAAAGCTCCGTAAGAGATCTGGAGTATGTGGACGGCATAGTTCTGTTAGATGAAGAAGCTGACAGTATTTCGAATCTTGTGGATGCCTTGGATGACAACTCTAGGAGTTTAAGATGTGTTCCTGCTGTCTAAATGCAAATGACTTATCTGTATGTATGCTTTGCCTGACCTTCAAGAGTAAAGTGGTTTTGGGCTTTGACCACTTCACCCACTTGAGAAGATGGATGAACCGTGGTGGGTCACTGACGGATAAGATCTTGGGACGTATAGAAATACCTCTATTGGTTTCTGCCGTTTTACACCATCTTTTATGCTGGTGAGCTGTTTGATTGCCTATCGAGGTTTGAGTGTGCTGCACGACAGTTTGCTCTGTTCTCTAATATATGGTTGTGAAATGTAGCCCTGATGGGTCACTGATCGACAAAGTCTATGAACAGCCATTAAAAGTGGAGAGCATGCGAAGGCTTCAGGTGTTCAACTACCGTAGCTCCCATTGCATTAACCATGTGTCTTAGTGGTGTAATAGACCAGGCGTGAAGTTTTTGGCAAGAGAGGTCAGTCAGTTGACGTGGTTACAAATCATCATGAACTGTCTGCTGGAACATGTGTTAGGTATGCCTAATGATCGTCTACTTGGTCGCATATTGTTAGCTGAAGTAGGTATAGATTAGCAGAAAGTTGGAGATGGACAGGTCAAAATATGATATAACTTCACTAAGTCTCGGACTATTGATCTGAACCGTATAGGGACTTTCAGACTTCTCGGTTGGAGTAGATGTAACAACCGAAACTAGTTGCTGAAGATCGAATGATATAGCTTAGAATCGACCTCAGTGGTACAGATGCATCCACAAATTATCTTCATCCTAGTTGTCATGGCGGGTCTCACCATTGTCTTTCTCTCTTTTTATGACTTATTACGACTTTTGACTAATGTCATTCTGACTTCTCTGTCTTTCCTTTTGGTGCCTTCTACATGGATGTGCTGATGCTAGGTATGAGAACTCGGACCATTACACAATAATGCCAGACCTCATGTTGATTTTAACTGATTGGCTGATTCGTTAATATTGCTATGGTGTTTTGAAAATAATTTTTCCCGAGCTGACGGTCGTCAGGAGTTCAATTTTGTGCCTCCAAGAACGTTAGGCAGGTTAGCACTCGATAATTATTCAAAGTAGTCAGACAATCTTTGGCTGTTAATGCTGTCAGCGTGGTATTACAGTTTATTGGGGAGAAATCTTCCGTTGGAGGTCGTTAACAAGGCAACCAACACCTTTCATTATGATGTACTGTTGTCAGGTGGGCAACCTGACTACATTTTGGTTAGATTGTATCTATCTAGTTCTACTGGTTATTTCCCCCAATATTTCATTCTAATCCCCATAAAAGTTGTCAGCATATATTTTGTTGTAACAAGTGTGTCCAGTTGAAACAAATTACTGTGCATGCTTTATCTTGTCCCATATCTATATTTCAAGTTGATCAGGTCGTTATTGGCTACTTCATGCGAATTTGTTGATAGTGTGGGAGACTTGTTTTGGCGACCATGTCGAAAATTAGTCACTCAGAGTTAACCCTGAGAGACAACTTATTAGCTTCAGATACATGGATAGCAGGCTAGTTAAATATAATAATCTCTGGAGTGAGTAATGGGGGTGGGGATTGAATCTCGCTTGGAAAGTATCAACAGAGGTTGCATATATTACGTGCTCCAACAGAGAGTTCTAATGGTGTACAACTGAGTGCAAAAATCGAATATTCAGGTGTAGACGATTCGACCGTGAGTTTTATGCTTTTCGATGATATTGCCTGAAACGAGCAGGTCTAGAGGGATAGTAGATAGGACAAACTAGCTCGTAAGTCGTTATTTAATATATGATATGCTAACATAAGATCACCTCGTTGTAAGGTGAAACTGAGAGTAAATTCAGTTGTTCTTCCTAGGAGGGATTAAGAAACCGTTTCGTTACATTAGTTTCGAAAGTAAGGTGACATCTGCGGAGATCATCCGTTCACCAGATTCCAGATATTTCCAGAACAATGTAGTGGGTGCACACTAATTACACTAGCGGCCTGATCAAGGTTGATCAGTAATACTTTAATGTCTCAAAATACCGAGTGGTTATCGTTTGTGCTTGTTTGACAGAAATTTTTTAGGATGTGGTTTCATATTAATGTATTGATTAAAGCTAATCACAACAATGAATTTGAGTTGTTCAATCTTATTATCATAAGCTGAAATCAGGTCTTCTGTCTAACTGATCACACCTGCAGGCGGAAATTCTTTGTTAAGTTCAGTAGCATTCGTTCATTTTCAATCCTCTGAATGAATCTTAATATATCGGCTATTTGGATTGCGTTTGAGTTGATAGGTTTCTACGTATTTCCAGCTAGTGACTTGAAAATATTCTTGTCAAAGCTGTTAAACGTTACTATCAAATACCTCACTAGTCTAACTTTTTCTGTCGAAGAACGAAATCATTCTCAACAAATTTTTATATATGTATTTAAATAAAAGGATGGTGAGTTGTGTTCAGAAATAGATACATGGTTTTGTCAGTTTGCAAAATATAGGAAAATAAATGGACACACCTATAAGGCATTTGTCAAACCGGTATTCACGAAATTATGGGAACATGACAGTAGTAATTAACACACTAGGGTCGTTTTCACCAGAATACCTTTTGTTAGTTCCTCTGTGTTTTCGCTATGGCATAATATTTGTTCTTTAGACTACATTGAAGGGGAAATAAGTTTCTTGAAACCCACTGTTTGAAAAATGAATATAGAAGAGAAGAATTGTTTCGAAGCAGATATTTTTCTGGAATGTGGAATTCACAGGGAGTACTGCTGACGATTTTTTGATAAACTGTTTGAATATATCAATTCGTATGGCGTTTCACGCAGCGAACTTTAGAATAATATATCACAATCACCCTCTAATATGCTCCACTGTGGAGGATAAGTTACCAAGACTGACCGGTTCAATACACGTTTGTCAATTTTACCTGCTCCTGTGGCGCTGGGTATGTAAGTCGTTTGTTTAGGTCTATCTTTCGCCGCATTCGAGAATATCTCCCAGTGTGACTTGGTAAAATGTAAAGAACAATCAACTCATCCATTTTTCAACGTGTTCTATACAGAGCATTCATCTTCGAAAACATCATCCGATATAATTTTCAAAATCCAAGTGAACTTTCCCATACGTTTACATCTCTATTTATTATATATTGCAGAAGTCCTAATAGTTTGTAGTTTACAGCCAGAGTTATACATACAAGAACAATTTGTTAAATCTCTTCCTTCAGCATGTTCCTAACTTAGTTAACTAGTAAGGCATCCAAATATCTTGAACGTTGATTACTGCCCTCAATTTTTTTCAGATGTTTCCGGTTTTATTTTAAATTTGCTTTACTTCACATTATTGTTATTGTTTTCGTCCTATTTACATTTCGTAGTTGAAACCTGTTCCATTAGATTATTGTTACTTTCGTATTTTCTCTCTATGCTTTTCTGTGCATATGTTGTAATACTTATGGTTTCTTCTGCATTAGGTATATATTATTCAGTTCTTGATATTTTTACTAGCATGCTTTTTTTGGTGTTGCTAGTTTTACAGCGGATGGTGTTTAGCGTTTCAATATCTGCCATATTTCAGCTTTCTTGACGCTACTGTTGCTATCTCTTTGATGTGAATTTGCTGTTGAATCATTTTTTTACTAAGTGAATCATTATGACGGACCCTAAATATTGGTGAGGCTTTCACTGAACAAGCTTCTCTACCTTATTTAAAATGGAGATTATTGTTTTCTTTTGTAATATCTTGGTAATTTAAAATACGTGTATCTATATAGGTATTTTGATACCGATTTTCACCGAGGCACTAGGACTGCCGCCACTTGACTACTTAATTATATTAGTGATTATTCTTACTGAAGCGGGAGATGTAGATGGCTAGAAATGTTGTCTGGAATATCTACCACCTTTTTTTCAGACATGGAATGAAATTCCCTTGGTTAACAGTTTTCTTTCATTGGCAGTCGTAAGCCCTTTTAGAAAAACAGTTATCAATTAATTGATCGATGTATTACGAGAGCCATGAGCAACTTAATTTTGGCAACTTTTTTACTGCTTTATGAATGTTTCAAACATGTGTGATTCGTATACTCAATGAAATAATATTTACCTGAACCATCATACTTTGTTGTTTTTTTTATTTTCCTGCTGCGGATAAAACGAACCGAATTCATCATATTTGCATGTCCGCTTTATATCCATTTTCCTAAGCTGTCGGTTAGGTTATCATAATATTCATTCTCTAAATAAGTGGTTTATGTAAAAAATTATAGTTTAATATGAGTGTTTTCATCTTTCTGTCTAGAAAGAAATTTCAGAAAATCATTTGGTTTATTAATATGTTAAACAAAGTAAATTGTTGTTTTTGTCTCTGGTATTTTCTTCAAATTTTACAAAAATAATTCAAACCATTTTTGGAAATCAGAAAAGCCTTTATGGAGATAAAGTAATAGGCTATTCAAAAATTTTAAGTCCACTCCACGTAAATGAAATTCGAATTCATGATCACAGATGTATTCATAACTGTAAAAATTATTCATTTCATTTCGAACACCAATGCCATCCATTTTACGACGTTTAACGTAATCGATTGCCTGGGTTACTTGAGAATAAGATGTTATTATCAATACAACTGAAAGAGTATACTGGACAGTTCGTATATAACGACTTAATCCCATCTTGTGATATAGGATGGAATATTTTGAGAAATAAGTCAGTTACTAATTCTTTTTATTTAATATTGGAGTGTTTTTTAGTGATTGATATAATCAATTGCACTTTACCAGATTATTTATTTTCATATGTTTATTGGCTTACCCCCAGTGAAGTAATATGCACTAAGTAGTGTGCGACGTGTACTCACTTGTGAATAATGAAAGCAACATCCGTTTAACTATTGCAATCCAATTATGATTTCTGTGCACTAATAAACAGATTTAAAAAAATTACTGAATGAACTGATATGCTTTAAATTACATTTAAATTATTATTTTGTTCTAAAATGTTATAATAGTCACTGAATATATACGTTACAATGATATTTCTAATACTGATCAACATAAAGTTCTGCCAACAAAATTATCGTGAATGTTGACCACAAATAACTCATAAGGTCGGCTGATTAAACTAATGTCATTTAGTGAATAACAACTATCTGAGTTGAATTGGTTCGAGTACATCACCAGTAAATTCTTCTTATGTATTCTGTTTCATACCTTATATTTCTTTTGTTTATTCTGATGTCTATCTACTTTTGTTGGTTTCCTCTTTCCATACTGTTGCATCACTTAATAATTTGGACGTTTGCACATCCGTGCAAATGGTTTTATGTTGTTCCCTGTGCAACTATTCGTGTTGTTCAGTAGTGTACCGTGTTAATTTAAAGTTTTTGTATCAACTATGTTATATCATTAGTGTAAACTGGATTTATCCTAACTTTGAAACCCTGTTATCATTACAATAGGATATGGTGTAAAAAGAAAGCTGAGCTCAAGTATGATAAAGGTTTATTATGAATTATGTAATTCGTAAGTTTTTTGCCTATTTCTTGGCTAAGTGAGAATTCGTCTTATTTGTCAGTTCACGTGATTGTGATAAACAGCAGATACTTATAGTGCTAATTGAGTCCCAATGATACGGACACTTAAGCACTAAAAAAGGTGATTATAACTAACTAAACAACCTTCAACTTTGCAACGGATTAAGTCATTGATAAAATCTCAAATTGCGAGAGGTTGAAGATGAAGAAGTTCAACCTGCATAAACAATAGTTATCTCTTACACATTCTGTCTTCATAATCTACACTTTTTTTACCTTTTACAGTAAAAATTGGCTGAAATGAAACAACTTAATATTGCAGTATGAAATCCATCAAGACTGCCAATGTTGAGCCAACCCGTCAAATAGATCACTCAGCTAAACCTAGCGTGTTTCAGAATATCGCAGTCACTGACTTAGATTATAAAGTCAATAATTATTGGAAAAATACTCTACAGAACTGACAATCAGAGAGCTTTAATACTCACTAACGTAAATGTCTAGTTAATGTCTTCGAAATTTTTTTCGTTATTACTGTAATTTACTCTGGGTATTACTTTTCAGTTTGCTTGTATAAAGCCTCAGTTTAACCAAGACTCGTCAGGGCTAAATCAAAGTACAAGTGTAAAACTCGGGCACTGTGGTAGAATTTAATTCCATATTAGGTTTGTTTATTTGACTGATAACACACAGTGATACAGTATTATCTACTCAAGTACATAACACTGTATCACTATACGTTATAAATCAAATAAATAAAGTTAATATGGAATTAAATCAAAGTACATCTGGAATTGAATTGGGCTGTGATCTGGCAGTGCTTCAAGAAAGAAAAATATATGCAAAATACGTTTTGACCATTTCAATTAACGAAGTTGAATACTTCTTACATTATCAGGAATGTTTATTCATTGTATGGTGTATATTGTGGTCTTGAAGACTAACTCAAAAAATGGATACCCAGATATCGTCAGTCAGCTTAACCACACAATGAAGAATATAAGTCCTACCTTGCATGATTATACCCAATGTTTGTTATTTTCTATTTTGTTATCAACAAAAAACCTGTAGTTGCTTTGGCTGACCCATTCAGTAATCTCATTCTCTGATGTTAAATGAAAATATTTTAAGTCAGACTTACGGTGAAAACTTTATCTTCATGAAATCTTCATGTAACTTGACTATACCTTTCAGGGAGTGCGAATTACCCTGTATTTACTGTAAAAAAGATTGACATCTGACAAATTAAAGGTACAACATCACATCAAAATGTGAAAAGTGGTATAATTCTAACCTAAAACACCTATTACTGCTATCCTGGCCAGAAAAAGCTAATTCAAGTAAAGAAATCGTAGAAAAGTGATGAACACAGTTAAGGAATATATTTCACAAACAAATGGAATCTACTGTTTAAAGAAGTGAACTAAAATGATAAAATAAGGTAATGTGAATTAGGTGAAACATCGGATAATCTGAATGTGCTACAAGGCTATTTCACACATAATATTTGGTCAATTACTCTGTTAGTTAACCTAAAGATCACCTGACTATGACAAAATTGTTCGTTTAGGTAGTGTAACTCGATGCAGATTTTAGAATTTCATGAGAAACCATTTACTTTATGTTGGTGTGTTGCACCATCCTCAAGGTGACCTTGCGATAGTATGGCCAGTTGGAAGACGAGTAATTGTCCAAAAAGGGACCATTTGATATTGATCAGCGTCTTACAATCTAGCCCCTACTTATGACTTCAAAGTATCCTTTAACTGGGGGTTGTTGTGGATTAGTTTTGAACTTCTCTGGTTTTTTTTCTCGATTTCAGTGTTTCATATATTCGCCGATGATTTATGTCTAATTATCGCACAAACTTGAAGATCTACAGGCGAATCCAACAAGTTGACAGAAGAGGCGAGGCAGTGAAAACGGGACTTCAAGTGAATGTAGAGAAGACAGGGGTAGGTGATGAAGATACCCAACGAACAACAACATCAACAACAAGCACCAATCACCCACCATGAACGGGAGAAACCTAAAGGAAGTTGTTCCTTTCACCTACCCACCTGCCTAGGCAGCATCGTTTCAACTACAGGTGGCACAGGCACAGATGAGGATATCGAAGACAGGATCGGAAAGACAGCAGCGAGACAGGCTTTCATTAATCTGAAACCAGTGTGGAGATCAACTGCACTCCACTCAGCAGAAAGCGTGAAAAAGATCCAGATTTTCAACACCAATCCAGTCAAGTCAGTGCTGCTATATGCTTCAGAAACTTGGCGCGTCACGAAAAGCACTTCGAACAAACCACAGACATTCATCAATAGCTGCCGCCTACGCTCGCTCACTCGATACTGAAGATCAGATGGTCAGAATAAAAGGAATAAGCGACAAAGAACTCTGGTAACGAAGCAACCAAGAACCTATCGCCCAACAAATATGCAGAAGAGGAAAGTGGAGATGGATTGGGCGTACAGTGAGAAGGCCGACTGGGGACATCACGCGTCATGCCAGGCCGTCATGTGGAACGGAAATGGGAAACGAGGAGTTGGGCGTCCCAGCTGAGGGTGACATGGAGGAGATTATGTGAGGAAGAGACGAAAGCTTGTGGTTAGACGTGGAGCGATGTTCAAAAGACTGAAGAGAAGAGAGTGGATTGGAGGCGTGCAACTGAAGCCCTATGTTCCACTAGGAACCCACGTGAAAAGTAATAATTATCACCTCGTATTCTTTTGTCACCCTACGCTATGCATCCAGTGAACAAATCTCATATGGAATTACATCCTACCACGGTGCCCAAGGCTTACGATTATATTAATTACTGGGTTCAGTGCAAAATGGTAAGTTATGCAAATGATAATATGTCATATGTAACATCAAGTACCCAAAATCAGTAATCTACTGTATTTTACTTCCACTCTACGTTTAATTCCCATAAATTTAATTACCAAGTTGAACAGAATCAAGTTTAAGCTTGAGTCACAGTAATTTAGCGCCACAAAATTCAATGTCTTTCACCATCGCTTACTTTTTGCAACAACTCTTATATTTTGACTAACAAATAAATAATACTCTATCATTGTGTGCTCTATCAAATAAACAATTTTAATTTGAAACAGAAGAAAGCTTGTAAAATTGTTAATAAATTAATGCTGTCACACAAGTTATGAGCTGATTGCTTTCAAAAACTTCCTTCTGAATTCTGTGCTGATGATGTTGTCCAGGATGACAACGAAAGCTCTATCTAGCTCAAAGAACGCAACACTATCAAAATGATCCTCCTGAGCTAAAAATTTTCTCCATCATCTCAAGGAAAATCTGCTTAAACGAGGTAGAATACATTTCGAATTCATAAGTTGAAATGGGCTATCCTCGTAATTCAATGAAAAAGATATGAATAGAGTAGGCGGAAAACTTGAGGCAGGAACTGTTTGAAAGAAACCAAAGTTCCGTTCATCAGATGAGTATATGGAATGGACTAAAACTAAATTTCAATAGTTCATGTCCAGTCAGTTTTAAACGACGACTGTTGAGAACACTGTTTTATAGAGCTAGAAGGGTGCCTCCAAGTGATAAACTGAAGGTAGATTTGCTGAGTATTAAAAAATCCCTGAGAGATAGCAGTTACGCAAAGACGTTTATCAATGAATATGGAAGATCTTAGGACCATAAATTAGGGCTTGAACAAAATAAAAGGCCTGCTTCTCAGCAGAACAAGTGCTCCCAGTAGTACATGCACTTGGCTTCTTATAAATACACAGCATGAAGTGGATACCTAACAGTCCTTCAAGCTAATCAAAAGAAAATAACGTATTTCAAACCTTCTCAAGTTCTCTGAGGCCGTAGCGATCAAAAATGGAAACTGGAATTGTGCGTTCAAAAAGTAGCAATGATAAGTCTTTCTTTGTTCCCTCAGCCTAATATTTGACCCTTTCTTTAAGTTGATTGTGTCATCGATGTCTTCCTTCAATTCCAATTAATTTTATTTTTAAGAAAAACTGGATTAATGACTTACTCCATGAATTTAAGTTTATACTCTGCAGACTGTTAAGATAGAGAAAGGTTACTATTAAAAGCTTTCAATACGAATTTCTCAAATGGAAAGAGGATATGATGAAGGCAAACTATTTGTGATACAACTTATCA